GAGAGCCGGATGCGGGGCTTGATCCCAGGACCCAGATCATGACCCAACCCGAAGGCAGAGGCTTTAACCCACTGAACTACCCAGGCGCCCCTGAAATTCTCCTTTTTGATGGGGTCTTTGCCTGGTTTGGGGATCAAGGTAATGCTGGCCTCATAGAAAGGGTCTGGAAGTTTTCCTACTGTTTCTTTTTTTGAAACAGCTTCAGGAGAATAGATATTATTTCTTCCTTGAATGTTTGATAGGATTCCCCAGGGAATCCATCAGACCTTGGACTCTTGTTTTTTGGGAGGTTTTTGATCACTGCTTCAATGTCGTTACTGGTTATGGGTCTATTCAGGCCTATTTCTTCCTGTTTCGGTCTTGGTAGTTTATAGGTTTCCAGGAATGCATCCATTTCTTCCAGGTTGCTTAATTTATTGGCATATAGTTGTTGATAATAATTTCTGATAACTGTATTTATTTCCTTGATGTTAGCCATGATCTCTTCCCTTTCATTCATAATTTTATTAATTTGGGTCCTTTCTCTTTTCTTTTGGATAAGTCTAACCAGTGGTTTATTGATCTTATTAATTCTTTTCAAAGAACCAACTTCTAGTTTCATTAATGTATTCTGCTGTATTACTGGTTTTTAATTCATTGGTCTCTGCTCTAATCTTAATTATTTCCCTTCTTGTGCATGGGTTAGGCTTAATTTATTGTTGATTCTCCAGATTTTTAAGGTGTAAAGATAGTTCATGTATTCAGGATTTTTCTGTTTTTTTTGAGTGACACTTGGATGGCTATGTATCTCCCCCTTAGGACCACCTTTGCTGTATCCCATAAGTTTTGGATCAATGTGTCTTCATTCTCATTAATTTCCATGAATTGATTAAGTTCTTCTTTGATTTCCTGATTGACCCAAACATTCTTGAGCAGATGGTCTTTAGCTTCCAAGGGTTTGAATGTCTTCCAAACTTTTTCTTGTGATTGAGTTCTAGTTTCAAAACATTGTGGTCTGAGCATGTGCAGCCACTTTTGAAAACAGTGTGAAGGTTCCTCAAAAAATTGAAAATAGAACTACCCCATGACCCAGCAATTGCATTACTGGGTATTTACCCCAAGATACAGATATAGTGAAAAGAAGGGCCATATGCACCCCAGTGTTCATAGCAGCAATGTCCACAATAGCCAAACTGTGGAAAGAGCCAAGATACCCTTCAACAGACAAATGGATAAAGAAGATGGGGTCCATATACATAAGGAAGTATTATTCAGCCATTAGAAAGGATGAATACCCAACTTTTGTATCAACATCAACATGGATGGTACTGGAAGAGTTTGTGCTAAGTGAAATAAGTCAAACAGAGAAAGAGAATTATATGGTTTCACTTATTTGTGGAATATAAGGAATAGCATGGAGGATATTAGGAGAAGGAAGGGCAAAGTGAAGGGGGAGAAATAGGAGTGGGAGACAAACCATGAGAGACTGTGGACTCCAGGAAACAAATGGAGGGTTTTAGAAGGGGGGAGTGGAAGGATGGGTGAGCCATGTGATGGGTATTAAGGAGGGCACGTATTACATGGAACACTGGGTGTTATATGCAAACAATGAATCACAGAACACTACATCAAAAACTAATGATGTACTGTATGGTGACTAACATAACATAAAAATATATATATGAAATGAAAAAAACCTTTTTTTTAAAACAAGTAGCTAGCAGCAGTCTTAGAAGGATCAATAGGAGTTTACCCTGAGGAACCTGCCCCCCTCATAGCACGGACAGAGGCAGGGGCCGAGGACAGTGACATGGGACAGCGTGCCCTGTGTGGGGACCAGATGAGCCTGGGACAGTGCCGAGAGGGGGCAGAGGAGCTCTGGAGCTTGGAAAGTAATTATTTTCCAGCCTGTGTTATGGTCCCTTGGAGTACATTAAGGTTTGAAACTCAATTCTGACTGTCCCAAGAAGGATATTTAAAAGTTTGGCTTTACCCATCACTCTACTATTCCCTTTAAAAGTAATTGGAAAACAAAAACAAAAATCTTAGAATCACCCACCCACCTCCCAATTCTTTAGAAAGCCCACAATATAACAATCCAGGCAGCATTACTGATTATAACTTGCCCAGAGAGGTTACCCTAATAATCCTTTGAAGTAAAACTTTGCTTTCAACCTTCCCAAATATACCAAATAGCTATGTATATATTTCTCTCTGTGTTTTCCCCTCATTAAATTCCTCAGATGTAGGAGCCAAAGGAAGCCTCCCTTATGCAGAATCAAATTATCTGTGTTCCACATGTTTAGTTTTTAATAATAAAATAAAATGAAATGAACCTCCCTCCCCCCAAAAAAGGAAAATGCAATGTATGTCTTTCCCTGTCGGGATCTGCCATGGATAATTCTTTTCTGTTGATGGTTCTCTGTCATGGTCTGTAATTGACAAGTCTTCCTGTAATTGACATTGAGTAGTACTGCTCCCCCTCCCAGCCTCCCCTTCTAGCCTCCTAAGTCTATTTTAGTAAAGTTTCCCTTTACTGATTTTCTTAGTTGTGCCATTAATTTTTGTCTTAAGTGCAATTTCTGTTCTTTCATCTTGAAAGGGAGTCATCCAAGGCTAGCCATTATACTAATAAGACAATCAAGAGCTCTCCATAAACAATTTGCTTTCTTTTCAGATGCTTTTGAAAACAAATGTTTTCTTTCTTTCTTTCTGGCCATTGGTAAGTAAGATCTATTAATAGTGATTCAAACCAGTAAGACTTTTAATGGCTTAACCAAAGATACAAGAGGTGTCCCTAGAGAGAGCATAGGTGATGCAGCCCCCATGATCCAAAAGTTCCTAAGAAAGCAAAGGCCTTCATTGCACAGGCAGTAAGGATGGTGTAGTGGAAATAGTGTCCCTGGTCTCCCGCAAACACTTGAGGTGCCCCCAGCCACAGATTTGCCTATATCACAGGCAGGTGCTACTGGAATGGGACTTTTCAGCACTAACAAGCAGTGAAGGTTGAGACAACAAAGGTTCCTTATGGTCTTGGACCTCTTATGACCAACGTTCCTGAGAACTGGCACAGTCAGACAAGAGCGATAAGGGACTCTGTAAAGCAGCTGTGTCAGAACACAAGGAATCACATGTATTTTCCCTGCTTTGAACAGAATGGGATGACTTACCAAGCCAAAACTTCACCCAAATTTTTGTTTAATTCCCTACATTTGGACCCTCAGCCTATCCAGTTGTCCACCAGAAGCACACAGGTACGAGGATCCTTCAGAGCTTATGCCAAGCTCTCAGGACATTCAAGATGAAAGGAGATCTCATCTGGTTTTTCTTCTGTTTACATCAACAGCTTTAGCTAAGCCTTGGATCTTTGGAGCCAAACTACTATTAAGAGGGATGTGCCATGGAGTTGGGGCTTGTTTGGTGTTTTACAGTTTGTCTTGTTGCATGGAAGTTTACTCGAGGTTGACATGTGACCTAGTATCAATCTAACCCATCCTGTGACCAACATATCCTAACACAGGTGTCTTTGAGTTAGGATGCCCTGCATTCTAACAGCTTCTAATTGTGTGACCCATGCCCACCTATATTTTGTGGCTTTGGTTTCTAAGATGTCCCTTAGCAACAGCCTTCCCTTCATGTGTCCATTAACCTACAACAAGGTTTATCTAAACAGATGCCAGCCCGGCAAGAACCATGAACTCACCAGTCTGTGAGTTTAACTGGAACAGCAAACTTCAAGTAGGGACTATGCTTGCATTCTTACCGTATGTCTTTTTTTTCCTCTTTATGACAAACAACACAACAGATAGATAAAAACAAGACCATCTCTGGGAGGAAATGGATTAATAAAACCAAGAGTACTCTACTGAATTTAGTAAGAGTTGCTAAGCCCAAGGAACTAGTTCTACAAGTATTTTCTCCTGCTAAACTAAATTTAGAAAAAAAAAAAAGGACTGTCACCACTATTATTCAGTTGAACTCTGTAGACAGAAATTCTGGGAGGCTGACATAGTAAGAAAACTTACTTTCTGCTGGCTGTATGTCAGATGCCCAGGGATCTCAGCTGTAGCAATACTAGGGCAAGCAGTTGTCCAGAAAGTTAAAGTGTCCTGCTGACTGTGCCCACTGTTGGGGAGGAAGAAATGCTGTTCTGCCCTGCAAGGTTCTTCTAACTGAACTAGGCAGTAAATTGATGTGAAACAGATTAACTGAAAATTAACTGTAATTTTGTATGTACAGAGGATCCACATAGACGTGAGACTCTGAAGTCAGGCACAATAAGTTATATATGTCATTGTGAACTAAGGAGAAGGGTAAGGGTCTGGGACTTCAAAGGGAAGGAATGCAATTCACAGGAGGATGAAAAGTTAATGCTTACTAAACAAATGTTTTCTGGACCATTCAGAAACAACCAGACATAGAGATTTGATCAGATAGGCCTTCTGATTCCTTCCTATATACCATCTTAGTTCATATTATAATGTAGTTATCTATGATTGCAGCTCTCTTCTTGGAGTAGGTCCTCCATCTAAATTTAGGCAGTTGTTGGGGGGGGTCATAGGGTCAGAGTTTCTTCGTGAGTCTTTTGGGCTTTGATGGTTATCAGCTAGGCATAAGCTTCATGCCAAAGTGGTCCATTTTGGGGAGGCCTGATACTGGCTCCTACAGAGACAACTCACTCTTTCTAATGAAAATGATCATTGGAGTTATTGAGATCACCTGGAGAGTGTCTGAAGCCAGAGACAGTCCTCCAGAGCAATAGCATTTAAGGGATGACCAATTGTAGGAGCCAAAGGAAGAGTGCTCTCAAAAATGAGGGGGTATTCAATGCTGTTAGATATTCTCCAGCAGTTAGGTAAGATGAGAACTGAGAAGTGTGCTTTAGACTTAATCAAAATGTTGTTGATGGCTTTGGAATGAGTGGTTTCATGAGAACAGTAGTGGGGAAGCAAAAGATAACTATAAATATAGTCATTGAGAAGGATCATGGAGTTGAATGCGTTTATTTGTGTATTTTACAGAGGGAAAGTTTTGAGTATGCCTAAATGCTAGAGGTGAGGGACCAATGAAGCAAGCTGTGGATAAAGAAGAAGGAGAGGTTACGTACCTGAATAGGGTCCTCAAGGACTGAAGGGTTGCCTCCAATGGGAGGAGGAGCAGGTCTCTGATTGGGATGCATTATCAGTGTGTTTAAGAAATGTGTGGAACTGATGTGGGCAGATGTGTGTTGGAGTGAAGACATCTCCACTTGCTAATTATGTAGCATTGACTAAGCTGCTCACTGTTTCCAGTGATTATGGCTGTTTCTCTTACTGAGCACTCCCTATGATACAGGCACTAACCAGTGAAATAGGGTTGGGTTGGGTTGGGTTGGGTTGGGTTGGGTGGTGGTGGTGGTGGTTGTTACTATTGTTGTTTTACATAGGAGAATGCCAAGGCTGCATAGCTTAGTGGAGAGAACATGTTTGTTAAAGTAAGTTAGACCAAGGCCGAAATCTATGCAAGAAATTGAGAAAACCCTTATATGATAATTGACATTTTTTTTTTGTGAGCAGGAGACAGAGTACAGCTGAAGCTAGGGGGAAAGGTGGGGAAGCCCACTGGGTAAACCATGTAAGGAAAGGAAATTCAAAATAACCAAATATTTTTCTACTTTATGTATTTTTTTAAATGATTGGTTGACTTGAGAGAAGAGGAGAGAGAGCACACACAAGCAGGGGAGAAGGGGCAGAGGGAGAGGGAGAAACAGACTCCCCACTGAGCGGGGAGCCCATATGGGGCTCAATCCCAGGATGCTGGAATCATGACCTGAGCTGAAGGCAGACACTTAACTGACTGACCCACCCAGGCACCCCATTTATCTACTTTAAATAATCCTTTCAGTGATGTCATAGAGTTGACAGGTATTAGGCAAGATCTTACAGATTCAGGTAAAGAAAAGCCAGTTCAAACTTACTTAAATAAGAAGAGACTATTTTGTTTCAAGTCACTTAAAAATTCTTCAGCTGGAACCAAAGCATGGAGTGTGTCCTACCCTCCACCTCCTCTTTCTCCCCATATTTCAGCTCTGCTTTTTTTTTTTTTTTAAGATTTTATTTATTCATTTGAGAAAGAGAGAACGAGAGAGTGAGAGAGAGAGAGAGAGAGAGCCCATGAGCAGGGAGAAGTGCAGTTTCCCCACTAAGCAGGGAATTTCTTACTGAAGATTTTTTCCATTTTTGCTAGAATTTTTTTGTTGTTGTTGTTGATGTTGTCTTCACAAGGCTGACTCTATCCTCGTAATGCCAGAGATGGACAAAGTAGCACCAGCCTTCAGCAGTCCTAGATGTGCAAAATCTCCCTAATGAGCACTTCTGTTCTTAATTGCCCTAGAGAAGCACCAAGATTGGACTCTCATTGGCCAGGCATGGGCCATATCACCGCCCCCCCTCCCCCGGACATTGGAAATACATCTGGAAATGCGGTACATACACATAACACACACAAACTCCTTCTCTCCCTCCCTTCCTCTTGGATTAATTTAGGAGAGGGAAGAATTTCCAGAGGATACAGTAGATCCTTTCACTCAAAGAAAGGACAGTGGGCAGGTGAAAACACACATTGATCATCTGTACCCATGTTCTACAGACTGGAAATATGTTTTCTTACATTGTGTTTATACTTAAAAATTTCTTAATGAAGATTTTTTTCATTTTTGCTAGAATTTGTTACAGGCATCTAATGAATACATTCAGTCCATGAAATACGACATTCTGACATTTAAAGAATAATGATTCTCTGTACTCTTCTCTCTTTTTATTCCTCTCATTTCCTGATGTTTCTTTTTTAAGTCAGGTAATGCACATGCACATTTCCACTCTCTCTTAGAGGAGATTTAGAACACAGAGGAATTAAGATTGACCTTGATATGAGTTGATTGGACATAAATCTTAGAGAATCAAGTTGGTCTTCAAAGCAGTAAAAGTATTCTGAATCCAGCCATTAACTAGAAAAAGGCAGCCACATCCTCTTTACCTATTTTCTGTTTCAATTTCCTATATCTTTTAGCATTTTCTTTGGGTGAGTGGCCATATCAATCAGAGTTCAGTGCATAAAATAGAAACCACTCTAGCTATTATTAGCATGAAGGGATTTAATTTGTGAGATTACATGTATACAAAAGAGACTAAGGTGCGTACTAGGCTAGGCCTCTGAGGATAATTTCTAGAATAATGACCCACTTGGGAAGCTCTGGGGCAGTCAATGGAAATTGAGGTAAAGATGTATGTTTTATAGCTGCAGTCCAAGGTGAGGAACGAAGAGGCCACCACCAGTTAACCCTGCCATGATACTCAGAAAGCTAGAAGACTCCAAACACAGAAACTTCAATCTCCACCACTGTGCTTGTTAGTAGACATACCCACTGGGAGTTTACCTTTCAGATCTCAAATGAAGGTAAGTATTCATAGACTCTAACTCACATGCAAAACCCTAGCTGTGAGGGTGTCTAGAAATGTCTTTTTAGCTTCCCAGCCTTTCCAACTAGGTGGATGGAATAGAGGTTGAGCAAGCTAGTCTACAGTTACCTGTCGCAGTGGCTTAGGCATTTTCTTTACTTTTGCTGGGTTTCTGGCAGGAGTGGTAGGATTGTTTGTGTTGGGAATAGGCAGAGGAAAACTGAAGAACAGTTGCTGCTTGGAAAAGGAAATGTCGAAATGCAAACGTTCAGCTCTTAGAGTCAGCCTGAACCTTGTTTCAATCTTTCTGTTTTGTTACGGATTTAGGGAAGTCGCTAAAACCAGACCAACATATCCCTGTTTCTGTGGGTCATCTGCAAGAATTGGTGTAGTGTTCCTCATTCACTGCTAATGGTGTTCACTACAATGGGATTTCACAAGTATCTTGAAGGCATGACCACAAGAGGGGCCTAAGACCAGTGTCATGTAGCCTTTCAAGACTGTGAACACTGCATACTCAGCTATAGCAAAGATGAAAATGGGCCCGATTTGGTCTTGATCCACATGTCTGAGGCTGTTATGGGGTTGGAAGTCGTGTACAGGTGAGTAGGGTGGAGTGTTTTTCCTAGGGCCCTGGTTATTCCATATGCCGTTTTATAAATGAAGAAAGTAAGCAATTAGGGGCAACATATCTTTTAAAATTTCAATTCCTGTAGTTAACATACAGGGGTATATTAGTTTCAGGTGTGCAATATAATGATTCAACAATTCCATATATTACTTAGTGCTAATCAAGTAAGTGTACTCTTAATCCACTTCTTCTGTTTCACCTGTCTCCCCTGACCCTTCCCCCCCCCCCCCCCCCCCCCCCCCCCCCCCCC